TACGAGTTTTTGTGCGTTGCGCTAACTAAGTAGCGCCTATATCAGTGTATTTTAAAAGATGATATGACCTTTACTGCTCGCCTCTAATACATTTATTAATTATATACGTATATATTATTATTATAAACAGTTTAACTATATATTTATAACTTTTTTATAAACATTATTTTCCTTTTTTATTGTGAAAAATCTTTTCCTCCACACTTTATCCAGGCTTATATTTCTAATTTTGTATTGTTATGGTCTTCAGTGGAACAAAAGTCAAACGTTATTGTATTAAATTTATTTTCTACTAACTGAAAAAATGCTTTAAGGAAAAGATTTTTTACATTAACCCATTGATGCCTATAGGCAAAGGAATGCAGATATAATAAAAGTAACTATTGGAATCCTGGCTTGGGATCTAATGATAATTTTTGTCGTTGAATGTTAAAAAAATATTTTTTTAACAATTTTCTTTATAAACAAATGAAGAGAAGTCGATTTTTATAAGAAACTTATAGCGCTATTGGATTCTACGCTAAAAACCACTACGAAAACATATATTACATAATTTTTAAAAAAAGACCTATTGGTGTAAAAATATTATAAACAATTAGCCTGCATTCATACTGTATGAGGTATAAGGATCGTTTTTGAAGTTAAAGATTTTTTTAAACAAAATTAGCTTAATCAGGAGAGTTTTTGACGTTAAAAATTTTTTAAACAAAATTTTTACCTCAAAAACTATTTATGTAAGTGGAAATAAATAAGTAAAATGTCTTCCGAGCGAGCGAGGAATATGACGCTAGTCTTTAATAAATTTTTAGGAAAGTTTCGGTGCTATTTAGGTAGTTAAACGTGACTAATTGAATCAATCAAAAACAATTGTATTGAAACATCAGTTATTTTTAACTAATTGTCAGAAAAAAAATATTACTGTTTGAATTAGTGACTGACTTTTTCCTTCTGAATCAGTTATTCTTAACTGATTCAATAATTTAGAGTGTAGGATATAATATATAATGTCTAATGTATAAAATTTACAGTGAAATTTACATGTGTAACGTGACGTTGTAGGGGAAGGGGGGGGGGGTCAAGAACCCCCCTCTCCGAAGTGTGACATAGGGGGAGGGAGGGGTTAAAAATGGTCAAAAATCGCGTGACGTATTATGTGTACGGCCCCTATGTTTCATGGGCTTTAATTAACTTTAATTTATTTTTTAATATATATTCCAACGAGATTGTTCGACAGGGATTCACTTCTCCTATGGACTCAAAAAATGTATACAATTGCTTGCCCCAGTTATATTTTTCATTTAAGTTAGGTAGGAATTCAGTGTCTCTCAATCTATTAAAACATATCTGGGGGTACCTATCGTCGCTCATTTGCAGGATTCTTTCTATCATTGTCAAAATCAATTTAAAAACTCTAAACTCCAATATATTTCTTCCTGTCTCTAAGCGTATGGTATAAGCTGGCGTATTCAAGGGAACTCTCAATAATCTTTTGATAAAATTAATCTGTATTCTTTCAATTTCATCTAGGTATCTCAAACCCCAGACCTGAATACTGTAAAATAAAACGCTAATAATAAGGCTATCACAAATTCTTTTATTGGTTACCCATTGATTTTCATTAACTTTGTTTATCATTGAGAGCGATTAATTAACAGCCAAGTTAGCTTTACTTATAGATTCCTGACAAGCCCCGAAAAAAGTTGAACTCTCTGAAAATAACACACCCAAATAATTATATGATTTGACAACATCAATCTTTTCCTTACCATACATAAAAGTTTCATTTCCATCTTTCTTCTTTCGACCAATTTTTCTAAAAATTCCAATTTTTGTCTTATTTATAGAGGTGTGCAAAAAGCTCGAAACCCGAAGCTCGAGCGGGTATTTTCGAGCTTTTCATTTTTCGAGCCGAGCCGAGCCTATTCAGTTCGAGCTCGAGCCGAGCTCGGGCCGAGCCGAGCTTTATAAAAAGCTCGAATAATTTCGGGTACTCGAATTTTTCGGGTACCCGAAACTTTCGGGTACTCGAAATTTTCGAGTACTCGATTTGATTCGAGCCCTTGAGAAAATACCAAAATCTACATTAATTTTTAATTAAATTTTTTTTTTTTCAAAAAAAAAATTTTTTTAATTTAAAAGCTCGAATTAAATCGAGTACTCGAAAATTTCGGGTACCCGATACATCGAGCCCGGCTCGGGCTCGGCTTGGCTCGACTCGAAAAAATTGCGGCCCGGCTCGGCTCGGCTTTTCGAGCTTTTTGCACACCTCTACTTATTTACATTAACGCATAAGCAACAAGAGTAATTTCAACGAAGTTCCCACAGATACCTCTCTAATTCCCTCCTTTAAAAATTCTTCTAAATCTGCTATGAATAACGAGAAAAGGAGAGGACTGCACACCTCTTTCTGCAGCACTCCCCTTGTAATTCTGGTCGATTCAGAAATACTATCATTATTTCTAACAGAAACATTAGCCTTATCATACAAGCCCATAAGAATTTTTTGTTATTTTGTCGCCCATGCCTAAACTGTACAACTTTTTCCATAGGAGTTCGTGATTAACAGATAAAAAAGCACCTTTAAAATCGAAAAACAATTCAATTACAAGACATGATTTTAATACATTGTTATACAAAAATAATTTTTTTAATTCATCAAAATTTCTGCGACGATTACTTTGATAATGACAAACATTAAAGCAAAAAACATCCCTGTAAAATAAAAATATTGGGAGTCCGCCATTCCGCATTGCGAGTAGGCCAAGTCCAACCCGGAATCGCGTGTATTTTTCGTATTGGGATGCATGGCGAACACGGAATAGGACAGTCGCAATACGGACTTTAAAGAAGTTGTTTACAGGTATGCAGACCTTCAGAAAAAATATTGAATTGACATTAAAGAATTTCTTAATATTATTGCTATTCGTATCTTCTGGAAGAACAAATATCAGTTTTCAAGAAAAAAATTTGAAACTTACAAAAATTGTTTATTTAGTCATCTTGCATATGATCAAAGTTTTCTTCATATTAAAAGATTAAACTTTTTCAAAACTGATTCGATTTAAGTCTATGATGGCTTATATTCTTCAGAAAATGATTCTCTATAACTTGACCGCTCAGATTTATAAACAAATACACCGTTTTTAAAATATGCTTATTTGTTTAAAAAAAAATTTTAAATTAAATCACTTTTTTAAACAAATAAGCATATTTTGAAAACGGTGTCTTTGTTTATAAATCTGAGCGGTCAAGTTATAGAGATTCATTTTCTGAAGAATATAAGCCATCATAGACTTAAATCGAATCAGTTTTGAAAAAGTTTAACCTTTTAATATGAAGAAAACTTTGATCATATGCAAAATGACTAAATAAACAATTTTTGTAAGTTTCAAATTTTTTTCTTGAAAATTGATATTTGTTCTTCCAGAAGATATGAATAACAATAATATTAAAAAATTCTTTAATGTCAATTCAATATTTTTTCTGAAGGTCTGCATACCTGTAAACAACATCCTTAAGGCTAAGTGCTGTGGTTGCAATACGGAATCGAAAAACGGCACTGACTGGTTTAAATGACGTGAAATAGGTAAACAAACATTTTTAACAAATTTTTCTCTGAACACAGACTAAATTACAATAATCGAAAAGATTGTTTAAATCTAAGCGAAAACGCATTTGTAAATTGTAAAATTGAAAAGTAATATAAGACAGACACAGCAAGAAGCGGTTTACTGCCAGTCGCCAGAAGAGAGCAGAAGCATGCAGCGAGCAAAATAGTCCAGCTGTCATATTCTTTATACATTAATTTATATATATTTATTTTGTTTATACACTTGTCTTTAGCCTACATAACTTGGCTATACAAGTGTCTCTTTACAAATTTCTCTCGTTCAATATTTCTATATACATTCCTTACACTAAATTTTTGCGCCTACAGAGCGACTTGAAAATTAGGAGTACTCGCATTTGCCTGGACCACCCGTCTAATGGGTTTTCCGCCAGTGGAGAGGGAAACTGTAGAAAACCTCTCCTGAGTACAACCGGTTTATCGACAGTCGAGTTCTAATGGTGTGTACCGGACAATAATCGACGGTGCCCATCATTATACCTCGACGTCAAACCTCCCGCTCAGATTATCTCACGTGCCGGAAAAATACCAAGCCAAATAGGCGCGAACCAAGGGTAGTTACCCTTGGTCCTTAAACGACCGCCAAGCGAGGCATCTATCCGACTGAGCTAATCTGTCGGTCCATTAATTTATATATTAATATACATTAATTATACATTAATTTCCAATTTTACATTTTACAACCGCGCTTCTTCATGAATTTAAACAATCTTTTCGATTATTGTAATTTAAAATATGCTTATCCACACTTAGCCATAAAGTCCTTAATGCGATCACCATGACTAATAAACATCAGTTATTCCCTCCTCAAGTCAAATTTTCATTTCAATTTAGTCCATATTTGTATTATTTGGGTGTGAAAACATACATTTTTTTACTTTACTTTGCGGCTCGAGCTAAATTTCTTTTCTTTTTAGCATTATTAGCCGATATTTTTTTACAGGGATTAATAATACATTATTTTAAGGCGTACTTACGTTTGCGAAGGCAAAAAATAGGTCCCACTTTAATGTTTTTTTCACTTTGCATATAATATTGTAACATTTGAACAATATTTCTTTAAATTTTAATTTAAAAATATTAAGAATTGAACGAGATAATGAGATTTTCCTCAGATGCTTCCAAAAACCGTTTAAAATCGACTAATTCACTGCATTTGTCAAAAAAACATGCTCGGACGTTTATAATGATATCTCACGAACCGAATAAGATTTTTAAACTCTTTTGGTCTTAAATTAAAGATGAGACTTGAATGATCACATCTATATAAGTTTCAAATTTTTTCTACAATTTTTAAAAAATGTGCAGGGGTTGAAAAAACTTCCAAAAAATTTTATTTTTAAAATTTTTTTGTTAAATTTGTTGATTGCTGCAATCTTTGTATAAATTATTAAAATTTTTAGTGATATATCATTGTCAGATTTTTTAAACGCCCGCCCTTTACTTATTAGTTATATTGTACGCCGATAGGCTGCGCGTCTATTACTACGCACTCTGCGTTTGCGCCTCTTCGTTATACTTTGTATTATCTCTCTTACGTTATAAGAACGACTGTGATTTCTCCTCGTGTGTTCCGCTTTATATAAAATGAGTGTATTATTAATAATAAAGTTATAAATATAATTTGACAATTATAAGTGATGAGTCTTAACTTTCTTTCATGAAAATCCCCACCTTCTAAAAGGTCATGGGCACAGACAAACTTTAAAAAGTGTTTTCACGAATCCACCGCGTGAGTTTTGTTTAAAATAGTGAAAGAAAAAATCGAGATTGGAAAAATACGAAAAGACGAGAAGGATGTCCGAAGAAAAACAGAAGATCATTCCAAGTGTGAGCAAAGCTGGTGAGTAAAAATAAAAATCATAAAAGATGTGAGTGATAATAGAATTTGAGAAGTTGCAACACGTGGTCAGAGATACACGTGCGGAGAGCCACATGTGCACATGGTCATAAGAATATTAAAAGAAGAGTTTATAAATATTAAATTAAAATTAAAAAGCATATTTGTGTTTAATTTGAAAATTAATGTATAAATATATTCATAAAAATTTGACGAGTTAGAAATAGAATTCACAGGCTCAAACTTGTTTAGTAAAATGCCGATATAAGAAAGACAAAGAGAAAAATAGACGCCATGTAAGAATAACAAAGAAGCAAATACCGGCAAGTGAGTGCGAAGGTGATGGTGGGGATGGGGGGGAGAGATACGTACTACAAAATGTTCGAGATATTATGCGCAGTGGCTCGATCTCTCTCTCTCTTTCTTTGGGTCACCTTTGCATGAACTTAAAATCAAAACAAACACAAGTAAAACGTCATGACATTGAAATAGTATTTCAAATAAAATCAAGAAAAGAATATTATATTACAAAATAATAGAATAAAAATAAAAGAAAATTGTACAATATTACTAAATTAAAAAGATATCTAGTTTAATAAAAAGAAATAAAATTTATGAGTATAAATATAAATAAAAGATGAGAAGTACATAAAAAAAAATTATATTTCAGATGAAGCGACGTTAGAAAAACTGTGGAAAAATTTGGATATAACGTTTGGTTTAGACAAACATCATCCAGAAGATGAGATCCAAATTACAACAGAAGGAGAGAATATCACACTAAATATTGATAACAGAGTATTTTATCACACAGGTGAGCTCACAATTATTTTAAATATATATATTTATTATAAATAAATAAAAATAAATTTTTTAAATAAACCGAGAAGTTTGCATGAAGATGTTTACTTGATGTTCGGTAATACATTGACATGCATCCTAGGTCAGTCATAATGGTGGTTTTGCTGTGCGAATCATCACGTGACTGATCGTTCTAAAAACAGTTATACTTGATGTTTGGTTAACTGATTTTGGAACATAGTCCTTATAAAAATTAAAAATTAATTAAATTCTAATTTATAGAAAAACGAATGCTGACAGACAGAACATGGGATGCACTTCAATTGTGGTTAGATAAACAAATCCTACAAGATCAACCTGCTGTCATGCCAAGGACGTTCTCGGGTAGCTCGGTCACAGAATTAATGAAAATAGATGAGGAGAATGAGTCAACAAAAATAGATGAGGAAAGAGAAAATAATGAAGATGAGAAATTAGATGAGAAGGATGAGACAGGAGGGAAATTAGTAGAAGAGAAAGAAGCGACTGATGAGACGAAGAGAGAAAAACATGATGACTCTGTGACCGCATTTTTCAAAACTGGTGATTTAAAACCTACCTCTAGTAATTTTAATCCTAAACCCACAATTAGTAGTAATATTAAATGCAATTATAAAATAGATCAGTATAAATTAACAAGAAAACTTGAAACCTCTGATTTTGTACCCCCAACTAATAAAAATGAAAATATTTCAGTTGAAGATAGAGTGAACAGACAAGAAAATAAAATTGATAAGTTGATTGTAATCGTGAACAAATTTTGCGAACTTTCAATACAGACAACTGAGCAATTAACAAGCATTGTTACCCAAATTAAAGATGTGTTAAAACACATAGAAACAGATTCACCAAGCCGTGAAACTTTAAGAGATCTCACAGGTTTACTTAGAACTGACTATGTGCAACAAAATAGAAAAACCAATGAAAATATCAAAGCTTTAGAGGGAATAGCCAAAACTTTTAGACTTGCACAAAAAGATATGATGCGCGAAACCAATAAGGTAATCAATGATGATTTACCATCAGATGAGAAAGGAACAAACGATATAAATGATAAATTAAAAATAGAAATCGAAAATAAAGTAAAAGAAACTCTTATAAATTTAAAGCAAAAGAATTTAGTAGAAAACTCTGAAAATAGTGAAAACAATTTCAAAAATTTAAAAGTAAACGATGTGGTTAAATTTGAGATTATAAATAAAGGTGGGAATTATAAAAGAGATTACAAATTAACAAACAATGTAAAATTTGAACATTTTAGAGACTATTTCACTTCGGAATTGAGATCTAGCGACCTTTTACAGATAATAGATGACAATATTGTTGAAAAAGAATTTGATGAAAAAAATCTTAAATGAACAAAAATTTAAAGTTAGAGACATTTTGATCAATCATTTAGATAGCAATTATCACGCAAAGGTCATGCAGTTTCAAGATCCAAAACAAATTTTGAATAAACTTGCCGAAATTAAAAGATGCGAAATAAATGTCAATTCACATACAGTCAGAAAACAATTATACAATATGAAATATATTTTTGGTAAAAATACAGCGGGTGAGTTTATTGAAAAATTTGAGGACACGATTCGAAATTATGAAAATTCAGAAGGTTCTGTTCCTTTCTCTGAAGATGAGAAGAGAGATGCTTTCTATAATGCTATTATGGTTTCTGTACCTTCTGTACAAACCATTGAATTTGTATCGAAAAATACAAAAGGAAAAAGTATCTCTTATGATTATTACAGTAGAGGAAGGGGTTACGGAAGAGAAGGTCACTCAAGGTACAGAAATTTAAACAATTCAAATAATTCGAATAATCAAGGGCGAGATTTAAAAAGAAAAAAAAACGTTAATTACCCAAATTACGGTAAAAGAGGGCGAGGAAATTATACTAGAGGGGGTTTCAAACAAAATAACCAAAGATATCAAAATAAAAATTACCACAAGAAAAATGAAAAACAAGAAAAACAATTAAAAAGGGAAAATCAACCAACTAGAAATGATAACATGGGCGAGCAAAACAAAATTCATAATAATTTATTGTATACTGATATGTCTAATAATAATTATAAAAATTTTTATGATGGGATTAAAATTAAATTTTTAGCTCATTCTGGGGCAAATGATCATATATCAAATTCCAAAATTGTATTTAAAACTTTCAAAGAAACAAATAGTGGAGTTATAAAATGTGCAAATAAAAATGAATCGGCAGACTTAAAAACGGAGGGAGTAGGGAAAATTGAAATAAAATTACACAATGGTGAAATATTTAAAATTGATAAAGTCATTTTTGCGGAAGCATTGAAAGAAAATTTACTGTCTTTAAGAAAATTCGCGGAAATGGGTTTAGCAATTTATTTAGATAAATAAAAAATTGATATATTTGATCCTAATTCAAATGAAAAACTATTGTCAGGAGTGTATAAGAAACCATTTTGGGAAATAGAGTTAGAAATAAATAACATTTCAGATAATGGAGAGAATTTTGATGATTTAATAAATAAAGATGTGTTCGTAAATCTAACTGAAAAGGAAAATAATACTCATAAATATATCACAAGAAGCGTTGTAAACAAAAAAAAATTAATAGAATCAATTAAAAATGACGAGTCGATTATTTTAAACAAAGAAAATGAAATTAATATAAATAACGATGAGGAAATAAATAAAAATTCAGAAATTGAAGTAAAAAACAAAATAAACAATAATCCTTACGAACAATCAAATTTTGATGTGACAATATGGGACCGAAAATTTCATGACATAAATGATTTACCAATAATAGAATTACCTGACGATGAGAACTTTTTATTAACTAACACAAAAACAAAAGTAAACAATAAAGCTTTATTGTGGCATGGCAGATTTGGTCATGCTTCTATAGATTATCTAAAAGCATTGCAAAGAAAATTTCCTAAAAATAAAGATCTAAATTCTGTAGGGGAGTGTAAGGTATGGTAGCGGACACTTTCTTTTTTGCGTCTCTCTCTCTCAAAAAACAATATTTTTCAAAATTTCAAAAGCAGGCAGTTGCTGACATCTATTAAGCATATTTCTGTCAGAAGCGGCTGTTAAAATTTAAATTCAGTGAAATTTTACAGCTCTTGGCGCAAAAAACTGATTTTTTTTATTTTTGAAAGTTGTAAGGTATGGTGGCGCATTTGGTGTATTTAACTAAATTATTATGTAGATGTTAAAATTATTTATTAAAACTACTAGAAATGATGAAAAATAACAAAAAGAGAAAAAATTGATGATTTTACATTATAGAAAAAAAAGTTTCACTTCAGTTATGGTTACAATTTGGACATGTAAAGTAGCTGGTGACTGTTTTAACGCAACTAGAATAAGAAAAGACCGCAAGTGTCACATATTCGAGAATTGTTGCGTTGGAGCACAAGAGGCATTAGTACACAAAAAATGCAAAGACAATTGAAACTCGTGCAAAAAATGATCCGCCACTGTACGTTACAAAAATTGCGCCATCATACCTTACAAGCTATTGATGAAAATATGATGGTGTTACTTTTATACAGTGCGAATTGAGAAAAATGTAAAATACAAAAAACTGTTGTCCAAGGTCTAAACAATACGTTCCATACATTTACCAGACTCAATTTTCAAAAAATCTTCACTCTGGCACTGTTAACACACATATCCAATAAAACTTTTTTTCTTTTTTTCACTACTTTTTTATTCAAAATCACTTAAAGTACAAAACACGCGTTTGATCATTAATACTACGGCATATAAAATGTCATCACGATAAAAGACATCGACCATAGTGATAAAGCGCTTCAGATGTGACGTTACATGCCAGATTTGACAAGTCCGCCACCATACCTTACACGCCACGATACTTTACATTCCCCTAGTTTTTAATAAAGAACTCTTAAATTGCGACGTATGTTTGGTGAGTAAAATCAATAAATTACCATTTTCATCAACTAGATCAAGAGCAACTGCTCCTTTACAAATCATACATGCTGATGTAATGGGACCTATTTCTCCCACTACATATCCCAAAAATTACAAGTATATATATATATGTCTTTATCGATGATTTTTCTCGTTTAGCAATGGCTTATCCAATGAAAATGAAGAGTGAAACTGGTAAATGTTTTGAATATTTTGTAAGAAGTGCACGAAATTTAATAGGTCATGATGCGAAAGTATGTTATTTACGTTCAGATCAGGGCACTGAATTTACAGGTGGGTACACGATAGAAGTATTACAAAAATTAGGTGCGGAATTACAACTGGCGTGTCCTGACACACCAGAACATAACGGGGTTGCGGAGAGATTCAATCAAACTATACAAAAGAAGGTGCGTTGCTATATGTTTGATTCAAAATTACCAGAGTATTTATGGTGACTTAGCTTTAACAGCTGCAGTTTACGCATATAATCGAACTCCACATAAATCAAATAACATGATAATACCCTTAGAAAAATTCAGTCCTGATCACAACTTTGACATTAACCAAATTAAAAGATTCGGTTGTATTGCTTATATTAAAGTACAAAGAAAAATTGGTCCCAAATTTAAACCAGAAGGACGACGAGTTATATTAGTGGGTTATACACCGACAGGTTACCAGTTATTAAAACCGGAAGATGGGAAATATTACGAAAGTAGAGACGTAAGGTTTAATGAAAAATTAGTTTATGGAGACAAATATAAAAGAAATGAAATACAAAATTTCCCAAGAATAGAAGATGAGACAAACAAAGAAAAATGGTTTACTAAATTTGAAAAAGATGAAAATGATAAAGAAGAGTTAATAAAATCGGAGGGAGAACACAAACGTAAAAGAGGGAGACCGCGCAAAAATTTAATAAGTAATGATAAGCAAATTGAAATAGAAAATGAATCAATATTAAAAATCAATCAAGATAATACAGAAACAAATTTACAATTAAACGATGAAACTAGTAAAGTATATATATAAAACTAGTATGAAGCTAGTAAAGCATGAACTCATGCTTTACTAGCTGATATCAATTCAGAACCGATAAATTATAATGATGCGATGAATTCAGTAAATAAAAATTTATGGAAAGAAGCAATAAATGAAGAGTTAATGTCTTTAGAAAAGATGAGAGTTTGGAAAATAATCAAAAGACCAATAAAAACAAAAGGTGGACAAAAAGCAACTATAATAGATTCAAGATGGTTATTTAAAAGAAAGATAGATTCAAATGGTTGAGAAAAATTCAAAGCGAGACTAGTAATAAGAGGATTTAAAGACAAAAATGTATATGAGTTGTCTGAAACATATGCACCTGTGTCAAGATTACCTTTAGTACGAACAGTTCTAGCTATTGCCAATAAATTCAATTTAAAAATTTATCAATTTGATGTCAAAACGGCCTTTTTAAATGGTGAGATAAATGATGAGGAAATATATATGGAAATACCTGAAGGAACAAATCACAATAAAAATGAAAGAGAACAAATGGTGTGCAAATTAGAACGAGCGTTATATGGACTACGTATTAGTTCTAAAAGGTGGAATGATAAATTCACAAAAGCAGT